TATTGCTACACTATACATTTTAACATTTACTAGTAAATACAGTGCATTTAAATAATGAGTCAACATATACAAATTATTTTGATGAATGTCAATGTTTATAAGACTACATTCAACAACATAACTACAGTTATACCCATGTAAAATATTACTACCTTAAAATGTTTATAACTCGCTTTAAAATTATAATATTAACAATAAGATGTCATAAAAAGTATTCATGTCTTTAAATTTTTATAACACGTAAATAACACTTAAGGTAATAACATAAATTGGATTACTTATATTAAACACAAATTTGTAAACATTATATATTAGTAAAACATAGACAACAGATATAAATGAGATGTCCTTTTTAAGTTTATTCAACAAGGATTTATTTTATAATAAATACTAATATCAATGTAATATTTTAATTTACCTTTAAGAACTTGTTGAGATATCCTATCATTTTCATTATTCACTGAATTTCTCTCATTTCTTACACTTGTTACGGGACTATCTGGTAAACGTTGTACTCCGCTGACATTAAGGCTATCATTTGATACAACTGAAACATCACTCAAACTATTGTTGACACCCATAAAAGAGTAAAATTCTTTTTGCGCCTCCATCATTGTTTTAATCATCTTTGGAGTAGAAATAAAGACTCTTTTTGGTTTTATTACTGGAGTATCTATAAAAATATCTTCATATGGAAGTTTTCTTTTCTTTGATACAGGTGTCTTCTTAACAGATTTGCTTTTAACCTCTGCATTACTAACACACTCATCAGGTGGTATGAGTTCACCAAACAAGTCTCTGTGACCTTCCATTGACGTTTGGGAATCTTTGTTTAGTTCAGAGTTTATACACAAATCTAGATTACAATCGAAACATGTTTTGTCCGAATTGTCATGTAGTTTTCTTTTTTTATTGACACTTGCCCGATCATTTATCAAAGACATATTTTGTATACAACTATATTTCAGATAAATTATAATATAAAATTTAATCAATTGGGGGTGAAATGGCCGAGCGGACTAAGGCATCGGTTGCGTCGCACACCGTCGCAGGTTCGAATCTCGGCACGGGCGACGTCACTCTTCAGGCATTCATGGTGTCTGGAGAGGGGATGAAGCCGCCGCCCCACACCCAGGCATGACGGATACCTATGGGTGCCCACCAAAAATTCTGCCAAATTAGGCGTCCGACTATAGGCCTTCGTGCATACTCCCGGATATAAGCGCTATATCAAAGACATATTTTGTACACAACTATATTTTAATTAAATTATAATATTAATTAAATCAAGTAACGTTTGGTACACGGAACAAATAAATTCTACTCGGAATTCAGAAAAGAAAACTTATATTTTTTAATCGCAATTTTTATGAACGTATGTTCCGAATCAATGTCTTTGATCTGTGAAGAATGAATTAACGAACAATAATAATGATAAATTATGATAGTTCCCGTTACAACAACATTAACATATATTTCCCATTCATAATTTCTTTATAAGGAAGTAATCCCAATTTGCAATACTAAACAAGTTATTATTCTATTAATTTTAGACGTGTTGTAAGTTGTCACGTCTTGTATAGTTAATAGTTATGTAGTAAACACGACGTTTCATAATCAACTTTAAGCTATCTTCAAACATACGTTATTAGTTATCACCAAAATATATCATAAATCGTTTTATCCTATTTTAAACATTGGTCTAGTGAATGATATCAAACGTCAGATTTAATTTTTATTATACAGATTGAATACTTTTGTACTTCTTATTCCGGTGTACTTGACGTTAAAAGCAGGTAATTGTAAATGTTTTTTAAATTAATTACCCTAACTATACTCTATGTTTTATTAATTGATACGGTGAATGGTGAATACTTTATTCTTAATTTTGTGAATGTTTGAATGCTCTTACTCAACTTATGATAAATTTATTCATTGCCTGCCGCCTACCGTTATCATCTATAATTCTATTTTAGTTTAAACGGTTCCCATTTCGTTGTTTCTTCACGTCTTAGTAACAAATTATTTTAATTTTTTTTTTTTTGGTTTTAGCAGCGCAACCATGAGCATGATATTCTTACGCGTTTTGAACGTTCAATGTTCAATGTATACTTCATCCTTCGAGACACCCGATTTTGTTGTGTTCAGGACAGCATTGAAAGGATATGATTTATTATCGAAATTGAAAGTAGGTAAGTTTTTTATTACGTGTTCATGCATGTGTCGTATATGATATTTTAATTTTATAATGAAATAAAAGGTTGTAGAAATCTATTCCATTCATATAGTCATGAAGTGTATAAAAATTAGAATAGTGTAAAAATTTGATTGACGGATTTTAGTTAATTCTATGAATATCAAGTTTGATGTAAGGTAATTTGTTCTTATGTTTAGATCAACAGTGAATATGGGTTCTATTGAAGCCGAATTTTATATGCTGTACTTCTATGAGCCGCATGTTATATGCGTTAGACTTCACGCGTGTGCCAGTTCACGATTGATTAAAACTCATTCGTAAGATTTATGGTATGTGCCAGTGTTGAACATTAAGATTTTCATAGTCTATTTTTCAGACACACCTCAAAACACGAGATTTTTGTTAAACTAATTGTAAGTATTCTCTGATATAAACACTTAGTTCAATTGTTTTAAATTATTATTTTATTTTAGGATGTTTGGATATGTATATAGGAATGTCCGTTTGTCTATATTTGTGGAAATACTATAGCTGAATGAATTATCTTGTAAATTACGCCAAAAGATTTGTCATCAATTATTTACTCTAGATTAGTCTACATAATGTTCATATTAGTTTTGGTAAATTGTATTATTAATTCTAAAACTTTTATATCGTTTCAAATGTACGAATATAATTGTCATATACTAATGTAAAATTCTGTTTTTTGAATAACACACTCAATATTCATTGGATCATCTTGAAACCATCACCAAAATACTTGTCATCATTTTTTCAATAGGATTGTCTAATTAATGTTCATATTATGTATTTTTCTAGGGTTTGAAACATAATTCAACTTTTCGTGCTACATATATGGCTCATATGTGAGTGTAAAAAACTGAAATTTGAATAACTCTCTCAATATTCATTGGATCATCTTGAAACCATCACCAAAATACTTGTCATCATTTCTTACAATAGGATTGTCTACTCACTATTCATATTATGTATTTTTCTAGGGTTTGAAACTTAATTCAACTTTTCGTGCTACATATATGGCTCATATGTGAGTGTAAAAAACTGAAATTTGAATAACTCTCTGAATATTCATTGGATCATCTTGAAACCATCACCAAAATACTTGTCATCATTTCTTACAATAGGATTGTCTACTCACTATTCATATTATGTATTTTTCTAGGGTTTGAAACTTAATTCAACTTTTCGTGCTACATTTATGGCTCATATGTGAGTGTAAAAAACTGAAATTTGAATAACTCTCTCAATATTCATTGGATCATCTTGAAACCATCACCAAAATACTTGTCATCATTTCTTACAATAGGATTGTCTACTTAATATTCATATTTGTTATTTTTCCATGTTTGCATAAACTAATTTTCTGCTACATTTATGGTTCATAGTAGTGTAAAAACAGATTGTGAATAACTCACTCAATATTCTGGATCATCTTGAAACCATCACAAATACTCTCATTTCTTACAATAGGATTGTCTATACTATTCATGTTATATATTTTCAGTTTTGAAACAAATCCAATTTTCGATCTATATCTGGTTCATATGTGAGTGTAAAACAATTGTTGAATAACCCTTCAATATTCATTGGATCTCTTGAAACCATCACCAAAATACTGTCATCATTTCTTACATAGGATTGTCTACATTATATTCATTTATATTTTTCAGTTTTGAAACAAATCAATTTTCTGTCTATCTGGTTCATATGTGAGTGTAAAAACAGATTGTTGAATAACTCCTCAATATTCATTGGATCATCTTGAATCATCAAAATACTTTCATCATTTCTTACTATAGGATTGTCTCTTATATATTTTGTATTTTTCCAGTGTTTGAATCATAATCAACTTTTCATGCAACATAAATGGCTCATATTTGAATGGGAATAAACGATTGCTAAATGATTCTCTCAATATTCATCGGATCATCTTAGAAGTTACACCAAAAGACTTGTCATCACTTATTGTTCATTATAGTCTACTAAATAATTATTTATTTATTTTTTTTTATTGCTTTATAAAATCTTAATATTATATCTCATTCAAATGTAGGACTATAACAATCCCATACAAATGTAAAATTCTGTTTTTTGAATAACTTATTCAATATTTATTTGATCATCTTAAAACCATCAACAATGTACTTGTCATCAATTTATTCGTTATTATTGTCTAATTAAAGTTTATTTTATGTCTGTTAATATTTTTTTAACATGAAATAAACATTTTTCATGTTAAATATACCAATCGTGTTTTAGTGTTATATACTCATTGTTTAAATACATTCTCAATATTCATTGGATATTCTGGTAACCAATAACCAAATATTTGTCTTATGGTGTCAACTGATGAAAAATTATAATCAAGTTGACCATGTAATTTCATTGATTTAAAATCTAAAAACTTTTTTTTATACAACAAAAACTATACGTATATACATTTACAAAACCGTTAATAAATTTATACACTCAATATTTAATGGACCATTTTGAAACCGACATATAAAGTTTAAACTTGAGCTTCCTAACATAATAAACTTTGTATAAAACTATAAAATACCCTTGTTAAAATTTATAAAGTTCTAAGTTGAAAAAGACCATGTTATCATAGTTGACGTTTATCTCTTATCAATATTAACTGGTTTGTATTGGTCAACGTATAGTTTATCAGATTATTATGAAAATAAATAATCAGTTTGATACTATTTTTCACTGTTGCTTGACAATAATGACTATTGTGTGCAATGAGTCATAGTGTGTACAGTAAAAACTGTTTTATCGTACTTTTGACAGTATTCATTTTGGTTTATTCAGTGTCAGTTGTTATAAAATTGTTTGAACACTTTGTTTTTTTTTTTTTTTGCTATATTTGATGTTTAAATCAGGTAATTGCCAATGCTTTTTGAATGAATTCAATTTCATTAAAATGTTTTTTCGTTGTCAAAATGAATACTTTTTTTGTAGAATAAATGTTGGTATCCTCTTACCGGACTGTACAATAAATTCAGTCATAGCTACTGGCCGCCTATCGTTATCATCTATGATTCTATTTCAGTTTAAAAAATAGCCATTTTATCGTTTCTTCGTGTACCATTAAATAGGAATTTTTTATTATTTGTTTTAGTAGAAGCATCAAACGCATACCAAAGTATAATGTGTATACAATTTTTTCAAGAAACCTGGATTCGTAGTGTTAAGATTAATATTGAAACGAGACGAGTTATGACCAAACTTAAAGGTAAGCGTTTTATGTATTCCATCATTTGTCGTATGTGATATTTTACTTTTCACGCGATATACGAGATAGTTGAAATGTTTCGTTTTCAAATAGTCTTTGAGTGTTTAAAAACTAAGATGTTTCAAAAAATGATTAGATAGATAATAGGTGTTGTTATATTTTATTTCGATTGATAATATGCTGTATGCTCATAGGTTATGGTTAAGAACAAAAAATGTATAATATTAAAGGCGAATATTCCTAATATTTTATGAACTGGATGTGATTTGTTTGAACTTCATATTCTGTGTGACTATTCGTGTTGAATGAAGGGAATCGAAGTGTTCAGTGACCTTCACAGCCAATAATTTGAACGTCAAAAATCAAGAAAAAAATATCTTTGTAAGTATTCATTACAAAACAACATATTTCATGTTGTTAAAATTATTTTTTAATTTTAAGGTTATTGATTTTATGCATACAAATATCAGATCAAAGTGTTTTGAATGCACAATTAGGTCTAATATAAATGTTATGCTGGTTTTGGATAATTAATGTCGAGTGAACTACACATTTAATTTATTTGAAGATTGCTTTATAAGTATAAAGCTTATTTTTATAGTAAAATTGTCTTATTAGTAATGAGTTTTTGTTAGATTGATTATGGAACATTAAATACTTCTTGGATCATCATGGAACTAAAACCAAAAAAGTTTCCTTGTTCTACATAGTCTGGAAGTTTTTACAAATAGTTCCATGTTGTTTTACAACAGTTTCAATAACAAGAAACAATTATTCATGCAACCTATACAAAACGACGACATTTTTTAAAACTGATTGCTGAATTACTCGCTCAATATTCATTGGATCATCTTGAAACCATCACCAAAATACTTGTCATCATTTCTTACAATAGGATTGTCTACTTTATATTCATGTTATATATTTTTTCAGTTTTTGAAACACAATCCAATTTTTCGTGGTCTATATCTGGTTCATATGTGAGTGTAAAAAACAGATTGTTGAATAACTCACTCTATATTCATTGGATCATCTTAAAATCATCACCAAAATACTTGTCATCATTTCTTACAATAGGATTGTCTACTTTATATTCATGTTATATATTTTTTCAGTTATTGAAACACAATCCAATTTTTCATGGTCTATATCTGGTTCATATG